TGGAATAATTTTTGCAGCTGTTGGACGAGTGGCCTAGAAATGGCAGCAGTCTGAAGTTGGTTGCAGTTTTTTTCTTTTTCTCTTGCTGACAGATGTTTACGCGATTTTAACCATTTCTGGAAAGAGGATTGAGGCGCTAGCTCGGCAAGATAGAAAGATCCGCATATAGTTTCCTATGTCGGGGACCAATTTTTCGAAGTGTTTTTTGGCCCAATCAAACTTATCATATCCGAACACATAGTGTTGCAGGGTATAAAAATGGCAAAATGTAACATGTTATTTCGAGAGCCTTGCCCTCATTTTCTTTTCTTATCAGAGCTTCTAGACAACTTCATCAAAACATGAGGCTAAATCATTAAAACACGTAATATCGAGGTTTACCATACGGGGGGTAAACATAAAGTTGGACCTATAAATTCAGTATTCTGTTGGAAGAATATATAATTTTAAGACAGGGCCATACGAATCTAATAATAATTTGTGTAAATGGGAAACGGTCTTCTTATAGAAGATGTGGTACATGTATGGGGACTATGCGATATCATGTACATTACCTGACTACATACAGCTCTGAGCAAAATGTTTGATTCCTATCACACGCTAGCGTAGTTATTATATATAATATTGACATTATTATATTGACAAACGCTTTATATCCTCTATACTGTATATTGTGTAGGAAATTAAAATATTCTTGACAAGCAGAAAAATTATAAACATTACTTTACCCATCAACAGAATTTTTAAGCCCGATTGATCATACTTAAGCATTTCGGGTTTTAGGTGTCCTTGTCTTATTACTGTAAATTAAAATCTCATTTTGCAGTTGAGGGAAAATAAAATATGTTCACAGCTACGACTTATCATAAGGAGAAAGGATTATCCATTTAAAAGGCAGTGGTTTTGCATTACCTTGTAATGCATTATTCGACACATGTGCATCATTAATTTAGCTTACTTGATTAAAAATTTTGAGAGTTGAAAAAAAAAAATAATCTGAACCTATATTTAATATGCAATATGTTGGCAAATTTTGCGTGTTCAAAATCGAATAAATGTACAAATGTGTGTATTAAAATAATTTTAAAATCATCTAAACTTTAATGAAATTTTAAATGCTTTGTGACCTCTAAAACAATCATGCATATGTTATCATATCTGTAATCCCCTTTGATATCATTATTGTAATACACATGTTCAATTGCATGTAAATCATTAAAATTATGTTCACATACAACGCAGTAGTATCTGACATCTGGTTACTGACCCCAAATGCTGTGGCTGCTACTACTACTACTGCAGCTACCCCAACACATCGATGTGTTGTTATCTTTGAAGTTTTTGTTTACATTCATCTAATATTAAATCATAAACAAATCAAATAAAAGATTATCATCGAATGCAACGCATATGACATCTATGGATGAATGTTGATTGCAGCACATTAGATGGGGTCGGTTAAACTAAGTAAATAACAATGTATAATTTATTGATACTCCTTTTTTTATTTTGGTCACTCTTAGACAGTTTAATATATTTAGTTTAAGACCCATATTAATATTCACAAAAGAATAGTCGTGATGATATCTTTATATGATTATTCTTGAGTATTTTTTCACATTTTTGTTCTTTAACAAACGCTAATATTTATGCTGCAATCTGTTGTTAAAATTGAACATGACATTTAAATACAAAGCAATAAGCAGCCATAAATGAAGACATGAATGAATTTATCTTCATTTAATTGCTAAATTTCCCATAATTACGCTTAAATGTCGTAATATGAATAAGACAAAAGAAATGTGGATTCAAAAGTTTTGCAATTCAGTTATGTATATTAAATCACAATTCAACAATAATACACATACCTACGAGAAAAATGGAATGGGTATGCTTAGTTTTCATTTATTTTGGTATATCAAAATTTTTAATAGAAATTTTTGTCTGCACTTAAATATCAGTGCTTCATGAAAAAATTTAAATTTAGATTTTTTGTGAAAACTTAAATCGATTAGAACTCATAGAGAAAGGATAAAAAAATGTATGGTACTATGGTCATTATTAAGTACGTGTTTCGAGTGTTTAAAATTTAACATCGAATGGAACCAACATATGTTTGCTATATCTTCATCTTAATCGATTTCGACTAAAATAGTTATGTTTTATACTGTCTTTTAACAAATGTCATTGTTATAGAGTGCATGTTGTGACTTTGAGAAGACTTAATGAAAAACGGATGAAGCATAAATGTCGAAGCTCCTTAAAGTAATTTCCAACAAAATTGTCATATTTACTTCTCTGCATATGAAATAAACCATCTAATTTGGGCTGATATTACAAATTTGATGCACAATAAATGTGAATTCGGATGTGGAAGCTATATCCGTCTCTGAACCGAACCCGACAAGTTTTGGCAAGAGTACTTCTAAGCTGGTTTCCAAATTTTGTAAGTAAAATCATAGTTATGGACGGCATAAATTAAACATATGTATCAGAGCTATAGCAAAATATAAAATATACGCCGACTTTCTTCAAATCCGACAAAACATTTATTCTATGCTAAATTAGTTTGTACGATCCAAAATTTATTACAATTTGTACTGATTTTACACATTTGGTGCACAATAAACGTGAAATCAAATGAAGACTATGATTCTTTGGAGATCATCCAAAAGGATCTAGGGGTGTATCTTGTTTCCATCTCCAAGGTATAAATACATTCACAAATATATTCTGTGGTGTGGGGTTTCAAAACGTATTTAAATTTGAGTAAGAAATTCTCTCTAAGAACTGAATTCACTTTTTCGAAGTTTTTAAATATTTATTCGGGGTTTCGAACAAAAAAAATGGTCCATTCACACCTGAACTAATCCTTATCTAAATATCAGATGTGATAGGTTTAACTAGATCAGAATTTCCGCTCAATATGACATTTTTAATTATTAAATACCCTGCCGCATGTCTAGTGGGATATACAGTGTGAGAAGAAAATACTGCAACCAACTTCATTTCTAAGCCACTCGTCCGACAACAGTTAAAATTATTTCAGTGAGAGCTCATGATATTGTTTACAAGCGTACAAAAGCATTTTGGTGAGAATTTTCCAGAAACAACGTTATTCGTGATGGAATTGAAGGGTGATTTCTTTATTTTTGGCTGGAAAACCACAAGCGCCTATCGTTAGAGCACTCCAGCATTTAAATGTAAGTAAATCTTTTGTGTCTCGTACCATCGCTCGTTACCGTGATACTGAAAGCGTAGTCCGAAGATATCGCAATATTACATTCTGCAAATATTGAAAAATGAGCTCGAGGGTGAAGCAATTGAAATTCCAAAAAATGCAAGAACTTACACCGAATCAGAAAGAAAATAGACTCAAAAGAGCTGAAGAGTTGTTTCGCTTGGCCGAAAGTGGTGTACTGCCGAATTTGGTTTTCTCCGATGAGAAAACATTCGTTGTCCAGCAGTTTGTAAAGAAACAAGCGTGATAGTGTGATCGTCAACTCAAGCGCCGGCCATGGTGATGGCCGCCATAACAGCCGATGGTCGCTCTCCGCTCGTATTATTCGACCGTGGTATCTGAATAAATGCCGAATATTATCGCGAAAATATTCTGGAGGGTGTATTAAAGCCTTGGGCACGCAATCATTTTGGCCGCAGACCCTGGACATTCCAACAGGACTCAGTGCCATCGCACTCAGCACGCGCCACCCAAAAATGGTTACAAAATGAGATTCCTCGCTTTCCAGTGCACAATGGCCATCAAAATCTCCGGATACCAATCCGTTGGACTATTGTGTCTGTAGTATTTTGGAAAGCAAGGTTGGCACTAAAAAATTCCAAAGTGTCGATCACCTCAAGCAAGCGCTTCGCCGGGAGTGGGCCAAAATACCGCAGAGCAACATTCGGGCAGCGTGCGACGGTTTCATTGGCCGTTTGAAGGCCATAATTCGTGCCAAAGGTGACCAATTCAAATAAATCTAAACTTATTCTAAAATTTGATGCTATTTCCGACATATTTTGTTTCATTCCATTAGATTAAAATAAAAATAATGGCGTTTGACTTTGTTGCAGTTTTTTATCTCACCATGTATATTTAAAAAAGATTTTAGATTTAAAGACTAGAGCCCCGACTTGCGTCGTTTCGAGTTGCGTCGCTTTTCAAGAACCAGAAAATTCGATTAGCGTCGTTGCAATTTCAAGTTGCGTCGGTCCGAGCTACATTGTGGATTACTATTTTTTTGCATTTGCAGTGCCTGATTTAGCATCTTTTCTGTCGGTTAGCATTTTTACAACTTCTGGCAACACTGATCATCAGCTGTACGTTATCAAATTTTCAAATTGCGTGAAATAAGGAGAATTCCCTTTTCTTTGTCATGCTAATTAATTTATTGTTTGGTTATTTCTTTTTAATTATTATAAACATTTTTTTAAGTAAATGGAATAAATAAAAATGTATTCATACTTGTTTTTTTTAAGTAAAAAATACAACATTTTTTGCTTTGTTTTGAATATTTTCCCCAGTAAATTAAATTTCAGTACATTTTGCATATGTATAGAAAAAGGTGATTCGATTTGCGTCGTTTTGAATTGCGTCGCGATTCTCCGGTCCTCAATAACGACGGAAGTCTGGGCTCTAGTGTATTTTAAAAGTCGTAAAGACTTACGCCGTTTTCACAAACTTGAAAAGAATATATATTTTTAGAATCCATCTGGCGCCCTATAAAACTTTGGTTTAAAATTAAAGGCATCACCTGGTTTTTCCAATTTCGATGGTAATTTTCAATACATCATAGTTTCAAAATTAAACATACAATTTTATTCAAAACAAAAACCAGTAAATTCTTAAAAATTTTAAAACTTTTTATAGTAAATAATAAAAATACGCATGTAAATAAAAATTACTACAATTGCACTTACCCACAGACATTTTAAACGGATTTCTTATTTTATTTAATTACAATCGATACTGGCCAATGGTGGGGCGTGAGCTTCCTTAAAACGATCAATAACAACAGCGGCGGCAGCAGCAGCAGCACTACCTCTTCGGAAAAGTGATTGTCCACAAAGCAAATTTGAAGTTCAATTGGTGAAGGTACCGTTCGCAGTCGTCGAGGTAGTAGTGATTGTAAATAATCGCGGTATATTCGAACAAACACTCTGAACACCATAAAAATAATAATAACAATAATATTTTTTTTTATTATTTTGGCAGTGGCTACTTGTTGTGTGGCAATATGGGTGGCGGCGGCGACTACCAACAACAATAACTTTTAATTTTTGGTTTTTTTCTCTCTTCTTTTTCGTTTTGTTTTTTGTTGTTTTTTTTTTTCTCCCCAAAACCGTATTTGTATATCCGGCGGAAACGTTATGTTTGCGACTTCAGGTTGCTGCGATCGATGCCTTTATTCAAATGCTATTGAATTTTGGTAGAACGTGTGTGCGCCTGTGAGTGATGGTGTAGTTTTGATTTTAAAATAAATTTTATTAAAAAAATAAAACTTGTGTTTTATTTTACAATCGCGTGCACTTGCAAGGCACATTAAACGATCATTGACCTGCAAAGAAAAATAAAAACAAATGTTTAAATTTAATAAAGAAAACATGCATAATTTTTTCTGTTCTGCAATTCGCATGGTGCGAAGAAAATAAATGAGGTATCAAAAAATAATATAAAATCAAAACAACAACAAAACAATAATAATAACAACAAGTTGTAATTAAATATTCTAAGTACAAAAGTAGGAACAACAACACGATGGACATGTAATTGCACACAGCTGACATAAAATATTGCAAAGACAGTGGCAGGTTTAATTGTCAGGCTTATTAGCAAGCAGATACCCTGTCTGCTGCGGAAAATCCAGGAGGCTTATTCGTGACACCAAAACTGGGTGGAGTTGTTCAGTAGTGTTGGCCCCAAAGACGCAAAACAAATCAATATCACTGAGCCCATCAACGTTGAAGACATTGAACTGTGATCAACGTTTGATGGGACATTGAAATGTCTTGGGATCCTGAAAATGTCGGAGGTGGACAAATTTTAATGAAATTCATTATGGAAAGGGATTTTTATATTAAAACAAGTAAAATAGTATCAGTCGGTTTTGCCGACAGATGTATACCCTCAGCCTTGAGTTACGAACGTGACAGATTTGGACTATATCGACTACTTCTTGTACTTTATATGAGGTATGTGCACCTTTTCGGAAAATGGAAATATGCGTCAGGTAACAGATACAGCGGACCGAAGTATTCCATTTTCACACTTCATCTAATACAGATAAAATACATCATCCTAGTTTGAATAGAATCGGATGATAATTTTGCGTTTTATGAACTTCATGGATACTCATAATTTTGACCTTTTGTGGGGGAGGTACCAGAAGGAGTGGACCGATATATCCCATCTTCACACCAGATCTTGAGTTAGTAGAAATAATGGGACGTGTGTAATATGAAGAGAACTGGATGTTTATTTCGGATTCTTTGGAATGGAATCGTGTTCAAGTGTTTTAAGAGCGTGATGAATATTCAAAATTTCGACCTTTTGTGGGGGAGGTACTTGATGGAGTGGACCTATGTTATTCATTTTTGCACCTGACCTAGAACTGATGTAAATATCAGGATTTGCAAAGTTGGAACAAAATCGGATTATCGATTCTCTTTCTGTGCAGAAAATATTTTTTTTATATATTTTTTTATATATTTTATTTTTTTGAAAATCTTGATCATTTGTGTGGGAGGTACCAGAAGGAGTGGACCGATATATTCCATCTTAACACCAGACCTTGGGTTAATATAAATATTAAGATGTGTGAAATTTGAAGACAATCGGACCCTTACATCACATTTTATGAGAGTTGTAATTATTTAAAATTTCGACCCTTTGTGGGGGAGGTACCAGAAGGAGTGGACCGATATTGTCAATTTTTACACTTGACCTAGCACTTACGCAAATATTGAGATTTGCAAAGTTTGAGCAAAATCGGATTATCGTTTCTCTTTCTGTGCAAAAAATATATATTTGTTAAAATTTCGACCATTTGTGGGGGAGGTACCAGAAGGAATTTACCGATATTTCCATCTTAACATCAGACCTTGGGCTAACATAAATATTGGCATGTGTGAAATTTGAAGACAATCGGACTCTTACATCACATATTATGAGAGTTGTAATTATTCAAAATTTTGACCATTTGTGGGGGAGGTACTTGATGGAGTGGACCGATATTTTCCATTTTCACACTTGACCTAACACTGACGCAAATATTAAGATTTGCAAAGTTGGGGCAAAATCGGTTTATCACTTCTCTTTCTGTGCAAAAAATAAATTTTTTGAAAATTTCGACCTTTTGTGGGGGAGGTACCAGAAGGAGTGGACCGATATTGCCCATCTCCGAACTCGATCGTGCGCACCAGCCAGCCAGACAGACAGACAGACGGACGGACGGACGGACATCGCTAGATCGACTCCAAATGTTCTGAAACGGATTTGGTCCAAAGAGACCTAGGGTCTAAAACCGTTATTTCGACTAGGCACGTTTTGACCGTATCAAATGATATATACCCTCTGTAGCCATATGGCTGAGGGTATAAATATATATTTAATATTGGCAACATTACCAACAAGCTAAAAACATAGTTATTTCTCTAAACTTAACGAGCAAAAATAGTAACGGCGGTACTACAAAACCTAAGGTCACTGGTACAAATATCTTCGTCAACCAACGAAAAAATAGGAAAAGACGAGGAGTTTGTCGAATATATTGGGCAAAAAAAAAATAATTGTGCATAATTCTCAATCATTGAACACAAATTCATCTCAAACGTCCTATTTCTTCTTTAATTGACTCTTACTGAGAAGATGCATAAATTTAAATTTGTTCAAATAGTAAAATTCACTCGAATTCGAATGGGAGCGCCTCTGAGAGTGATGTCGTTGTTTACAAACAACGAAAGCATTGCTCGTTTACGACTGTAGTTTTCGGACAGTTGTATCTCTCGAAGAGGTGATCATAATTTGTCAGGGCTCAGATTTCGAAGGGTGCGAGTTGTATATAAAGTTTACTCTCCACTCTTTTGTTTTAAATAGCAGCGTTCGCGAGTTAGCCCTCTTTGAAAAATTAGAGCTGGAGTCGAAAAGCTCGAAATAGAGTTATAGTAAACTCTAAGAGTGAGAAACGATAATTTTGTTTGTGGAGGTCATATACAAAATCATTTTCATATCCAATCTAAATATAATAGAAATATTACGATGTTCGAAGTTTTCACCGTCTTTATGGACAGTTCTGAGACTGTAACAGATAAGATATAATGTACGATCACATCCGTCTGCTCCTCTGGGAAGTAGTTCTTTATTAGAAGATCCTGAAGAATAACAGCATACAGGGCGAGATGAACTCAGACTGCTGTCTTTTCTAAGCCACTCATCCTTCAGCTGTTAAAATTATTCCAGTGACAGCTCATTATATTGTTCACAAGCGTACAAAAGCATTTTCATGAGAATTTTCCAGAAAAAAAAGTTATTCGTGATGGCATTTAAGCGTGATAGTGTGATTTATTTATATTTTGTTAGAAAACCTAAAGTGGATATTATTAGAGCACTTCAGCATTTACATGTGTATACATCTTTTGTGTCTCCTACCATCGCTCGTTACCGTGATACTGGTAGCGTAGCCCGACGTCAAGGAAGTGGACAGAAGAAAACAGCAACATCAGCGCAAATGGTTCGAAAAGTAAAGAAGCGACTTGATCGAAACCCACATCACAGTGGCCAAAAAATGGCTCGTGAGCTGAACATTTCGCAATATTCCATTCGGCAAATATTGAAAAATGAGCTCGGGGTGCAAGAACTTGGCTTGGGCGAAAGTGGTGAACTGCCGAATTTGGTTTTCTCCGATTAAAAACATTTGTTGTCCAGCAGTTTGAAAACAAAAAAAATCATCGTGTTTACTTGCCATAGAGGTCAGCTGAAAATGTGCACATTCGCTTGGCCACCAGAACTCAAGCGCCGACCATGGTGTCTTTTCGCTCGTATTAATCGAACGTGGCATCAGAATAAATGTCGAATATTATCGCGAAAATATACTGTAGTCTGTATTAAAGTCTTGGGCACGCAAACGTTTTGGCCGCAGACCTTGTACATTCCAACAGGACTCAGCACGCGCCACCCAAGAATGGTTACAAATTGAGGTTCCTCGCTTCATTTCCAGAGCACAATGGCCATCAAAATCTCTGTATACCAATCCGTTGGGCTATTGTGTCTGAAGTATTTTGGGAAGCAAGGTTGGCCCTAAAAAATACTAAAGTTTCGATCACCTCAAGCAAGCTCTTCGCCGGGAATGGGCCAAAATACCGCAGAGCAACATTCGGGCAGCGTGTGACGGTTTCATTGGCCGTTTGAAGGACATAATTCGTGCCAAAGGTGACCAATTCGAACAAATCTGAACTTATTCTAAAATGTGATGCTATTTCCGACATTCTTTGCTTTCATTCAATAAAATTAAAAAAAAAAATGTAAAAATTATGGCGTTTGACTTTATTGCAGTTTTCTTATCTCACCCTGCATAAGGGATCAATATTTGAACCGATTTTCACAAATTTGAAATACTTGCTTCTAGGCTGTACTTTGTCGGATGGTCCGAAATACCTCTTATTTGGACGAATATTACACATATGGCGCTAAAAAAAATTTTGAAATCGGACAAAGATATATATTTATTGAAGCTATATCCAAATCTGGAACGATTGTCACCTATTTAAATAGGATTCGTCATTGGACCCAACAAAGGATTTTTGGAAAATGTTATCTCAATCGGGCTATAAATGTGGACCGACCGACATACATAAATCGCATGTTACAAACAAAGTCACAAAAACATAACATCACAGTATGGCGTAGGGTATAAATAAGGGACCATAAAACCGAAAACAGATCGTAACATGTAAGACCCAGATTCTTTAGATTATTATTTAACTAATCAGCTATAAATTGTTGATGCTTTAGACATGTTTAACTGTTTGAAAATTTGTTTAGGGGATTTACTTAAATTACAGCTATCTCTGTTTGAAGGTGCTGTTGAAACCTTCAAATGCTGGAAGTACCATAATATTGAGGACTATGTAAACATTGTTCGGTACTGAGCATCGCAGCATTAACATGTTTGCATGTTCAGTATTTTAACAATCTACTTCAACATTGCTAGCTCTATCGTGACTTTAACAGACGAAAATCTCCTGCACCTAAACGCCGAAGTGCCTAAGGTTGTTCATCCCCCAGACTTAATATAAACATAAATTGCATAGCTAATTTTATTTTCTTCAGTATTTTCTTGCTTCATAACGGAAGCAAATAATTTTCCAATACTAAAGCAGCAAAAACAACATTTGTTGACAAATGAGAGAGGAGGAGATAAGGGCAGGGGTGAGGGACTCAAAATAATTGTAGCTTGCGGCTGACAACAAATTGAAAAGCAAATGGAT